AGGTTAGATCGTAAAATCAAGTTCCTGGCCAAGACCACTTTTGACCGACACTTGTTATTAGAGGGCGATCTGGCGGGGAAGAAAATGAAGGAAGCCAGCCATGAAGTACGTCTGGAGGCTGTGAAGATGGAAATTCAGGAACTTAGGGCTTTGGTGGCCAGCCAGGCAGCTATTATTGAGAGCCTGAGGCAGCAAACCTAGAGAAAGGCGGACAGACCAGAGAGCAGCCGGCAGGGAGAGCAGAGGCAGCCAGGACAGGGATTGCCAGGACAGCCATCTACGACAGAGCCTCGCCAGGAGCCGCCTATGGGGAGAGTTATCCTGGAGCTAGAGGAGGCGAGAGCCCAGAGACAGGCAGAGAGAGAGGCGTTTGAGTTTAAAGCCCCTACTGAGCTCGCGACGCTGCCGGTGACGGCGACAGGCCCGGTCGTACCTTTGGCAGTAGAGGAGGGGCTGCCACCATCTAGCAGTGAGCCGGCTCAGGGCTCGGCAGAGGGATCTATGGGCGTGCTCCTTGAGACGGTGCATACTATGCGGGAGGAGGTGAGTTTGTTTTCACCTGAGCAGAGGATAGAGGAGCCTTTTGAGAGAGAGATGGGGATTGAGGAGGAGGGTGCCATCGAGGGCAGACTCCAGAGGATAGGCACACCTGAGTATGGACCAGAGGAGATTGAGGAGCAGCCCACGGCAGTGCCAGGGGCGACACTCGAGAAGAGGCCTCAGAGGTTGGACACGCCCGAGTACGTCCCAGCGACAGAGGATTTGAGAGGCAGGCTAGGATCTTGGGCTATTGGATCTGGGTCTAGTGGACCGGTTCCGGGGACAGAGCGGCAAGAAGTCGTTGGTACTGCAGCTCCTCAAGCAGAGCAGCAGGGGGTTATCAGTACCTTGGCAGGATCTCCTTCATCACCACCTCCTCAGCCCAGGAAGAGGAAGTTCAAGAGGAAGGTTGATCAACTATGTTTCTACTGCAAGAGGAGCGCGCATCATGCTTTGGACTGTCTCGAGTTTCTTAAGGATAAGGCAGCAGGGAAGATCTCAGAGGTAGGGGATAAAATGTATGATAGACAGGGTAGGATAGTAGAGAAGTCCGCAGATGGACTTAGGGCTCAGTTATATAGGCAAAACCAGGAGGAGTTGAGGAGGTAGGGCTCGGTTTTGTCTATATAAGTGAGCGAGCATTTTGTGGGGTATCAACTTAGGTTCTGTGTGATACCCGTTTTTGACTTAGAAGGCATTTTGATGATTAATGTTAATCTAGATCTGAACTCTAGTGTTTCTACTGAGTTGAGGTTTTGAGGGTCAGGGTGGTTTAGATGAGGCATGTACATATTTAGGTGGCCTACGCCCTGGCCTTTGAAAGACAAATCTGACATGTATTTTAGGGGTAGTTGTCAGTGAGGGTTTGGTGTGGCTTGAATTGAGCAAGCTATGATTTGGAGACACTTTCTGTATGAGACATTGTATTCCCTGAGTGTATATTATGATGAGGTTTCCTTGAGGGACCATTCTTATATGTGACGATCACTTGTCTTTCTCACATGTGTGGTTGTACTCTGATGTATGATGAGTTTGTGTGGACAATGTGTGGAAAACCTTTTATGTATCTTGGGTATTGTGAATATGATTGTAAGTAAAACTGTCTACTCCTCGGTATACTTGTGCGACCTGCCCACGGCAACTGATAAGGCAGAGTATAAGGGGAGGAAGCGCAGTCCGTCTGTGAAAGTTATCTAAGTTGTGATGAGGACCCATAAGATGGTCTTTCAGTGATGTTCTGCTTTATGATGGGACCCCCTTAGATTTTGGAAAAGGGGGGGATGTTTTATGATATTTTGTGATGTAACGAAACCCCTCGTGATTTTGAGAGAGGGGGTGTTTTGTTTATGATGAGACCCTCGTGATTTCTGGAAGAGGGAATGTATTGTTTTATGGCGAGACCCCTCGCGATTTTTGGAAGAAGGGGTGTTTTGTTTATGAAGAGAGTCCCTTTTGGATTGTTGGAAAAGAGGAGTGGTTTTTTGTTGGAAGACTCATCCTCAGAAGTGAGTAAATTGATTTATGGCATGATGAGTTGTTCGGTGGGTGATAAAGTCTGACGGAAAGGGGCCACTTTTTGTTTGAAATATTTGAGAAAGTCGCAATGAGTACAGGGCGAGAGATGTCTCAGGGTGGGTGGCTGCTGGCTCTGATTAAGTCAGGGGTCACGGCCTGGTGGATTTAGCGGTGATTTTGCTTGTAAGCGTGCGAAGGAGGTCATGCCTATTGAAGGAGGGCTGGTAAATGCCTTCGCACCCTTGCGTATCGCGCAGTGGGCCTGTGATTTTGTTTTGACGCACCCGTTTAACCACTAGTGCTAATTCTCAGACATATTGAAGAAAGGCCAAGCTAACAGAAAAAAGTTAGTACCTCTAGGGCGTAACCCCATTGGATGACTGCTAACCGGCGCCACCTTGTTGCGGGACCACGGGGTAAGAATTTAAGGGGAGTTACCCGCCCCAGGGAAATTACTCCGTGGGATAGTGAAAGTTGAGATTTTGGGAGGTCCTGATTGAGTGCCTATCAGGAGAGACCCTATCGTTGCGTAACCAACAAGGGTACTGCCGTTAAATAACAATGCGGTAGGCCGTAGTCCTGGTCCGATCAACCAGGCTATGGTGGGCCAAGATGGAGACCTGGCCTTTCTGTACTAGACTGCAGAAAGAGCGGAGTGGATATTAAGTTTACATATATACTTATATATATTTGATTGCGAGAAATTTTGAGAAGGAAGGCGAGAGTGCCTTCAAAGGTTTCGGTTAAGGCCCGCGTCCCTAGTTTTTGCTA